AGGCCCTGGCACAGGGTGCCCAGAGAAGCTGTGGCTGCCCCTGGATCCCTTTGAGTGCCCAAGGCCAGGCTGGACATTGGGGCTGGGAGCAGCCTGGGACAGTGGGAGGTGTCCCTGCCATGGCAGGGGTRGCACTGGRTGGRMTTTAAGGTCTGTTTCAACCCAAACCGTTTGATGGTGATGATGATGAATAAACGACACTGCCTCATCTAATTCTTATTCTGAACAACAYTGATGTTTTGTACCAATCTGAAATTTTAGTCCTATGTATGTCCAACATTCCTTTGGAATCAGGTGACCCCCACAGCCCCACCAGAGATTCAGCAGGGTTTGTGTTAATGGATTTGGAAGCATTTTTCTTCCCAGGAAGGGAGARGTGTCTCTGCAGCAGCAGCAGCACAATTTTCTTACCAATAAAACTTCATCTGTTCTGCAAGACATAAAAAAATGGGTCCTAAGGAGTTAAAGGAGTTAAGGAGCCCAGCTCTGAAATGGAGTCAGATCTGGGATATTCCAGTGCATTCCACTAAGATATTTTTCCTTTTTATTGTTTTTAGGAGCAGCCMCTGAACTCCTCTTCATCTCCATCTTGGGATTTGTCCTGTGAAAGTCCAGGGAACTTTCTTGTAAACCAACATGAATGGGGTGATCCTTGCGGGGGTCACACGTTTGTTGGGAAAGTTTGTTCTGTCTTGGGAATTGGCCATGGACTAATGTTCTGACCTAGCTTTAGAACACAAAATCCTCTGTTTACGCCTCCATATCCGCATCACCAGACAGAGCAGCCCCTGGCTCTGGGTAAACAGATTCCATACGTTAATCTGAGCCCTGGGAATGCAGCAGGCCATGGATGAGGCCAGAATGAACGGGATGTTGTAAGTACATGATGTGGGACAGTATAAAGAAATATAGGGCTTTTCAAATTATGAGGAAAAACTCAAAAAATGMAGCTTCTGAGTCTTCCCAGATCTGCACTGCGTGTCCCAAATTCGGGGCTACTTTTGGAGTGCAAGCTCCATGGCAGGAGATGGTGCCTTGGTGTRGTCCATGGAGCGGTAGAGCTCTTCTGCTCTAAGGTGAGCTGAAATGCTCTGCCCCTTCAAACAAGGAAACTTCAAACCAAATCCTAACTGCAGACCCACATCCCAGATCCTAAAATGACTTCATTTTAGGTTTCTCCTGGTGGGACCATAGGAAATATTTATAGCTCTATAGGTGATGCAGAAATAAACTGCATGCATTTTAGCTTTTGCCCTGGGCACTGTGCCAAGCTGGACAGCCCTTTCCATTGGGAATTCTCCCAGTCTCCACCCTGAGCCTCCCCTGGCCCAGCCTGAGGCCGTTCCCTCTCCTCCTGTCCCTGTTCCCCGGGGGCAGAGCCCGACCCCCCCGGCTGCCCCCTCCTGTCAGGGAGTTGTGCAGAGCCACAAGGTCCCCCCAAGAGATGCAACTGCTCTGTGACACCAACACAAAACCTTCCATCCATGAGCAGCACAAGGTTCTGAGTTCACTCAGCATCACTGTTGCTCATCTATCAGTTATAAATTCCCCTGGATCCTTCTCCCATCCCTTCTGGAAGCAGAGTAATCTGATAATGTTTTGCCAGATTGAATTTTGACCAGTTTTATGACATCCCAGTGATTTATTTTGAAGAAATCATTGCAGAATTACAGCATAATGTTGTTACTGCCCTTCCTCACAGCTCTGCCCTCATTTCCTCACACTGTTACTGAGATGCCTGGTACAATATTTTCCAAAAATCCCATTATAGAGAAGTGATAAAGGAGAATGGATGCATTTGGCTTTATGAGAATGAAAACTACTTCRAACTGTAGAACATAAAATCTGTTGAGGAGATCAAAACACAGAGTCTTTTCAGAATTATATCCCTGGAAGTGTCTAAGGCCATATTGGAGAGACCTTGGAGCACCCTGGGAGAGTGGAAGGTGTCCCTGGCCCATGGCAGGGGCTAGAACAGGGTGAGCTTTAAGGTCTCTCCCATCCCAAACCAATCTGGAATTCTATGATTCCATATTCTGGAATTTCAGTCTCTTTGAAACTCGTGAAACAGGGTGAAGGCAGATGTGAAATTCCTGYACCATTCATGTGCCTTGAGCCCGTTTTCTTGATCCAGATGTGGCCAGGCAATCTAGAAACCCTGAAATTAATTCTTTCTAGGAAGGAAATCCTCCTGCAGAGCAGACCACAGCTGTCCCTGTCCCTGGCAAGCACCTGATCCATCTGGCCCGTTTCGGGCACCCAGAAACACCCCAGAAATTGAAGCAGGCTTTTCAGTGATACATTTTGTTGTTTTGGCAGAACTGTGGTCTCTCCACAGGTAATGTTGTGCCCTCTCCTCTGCCAGCTGTTCCTGRCAGAGCCGTGCTGGGAATGGGGAGCTTGAGGAGGTACCAACCAYGATTGTGAGTGATGTTTGTCCAAGAGTGGAACTGAGTTTGGGGATCGGGCATCASCCAGCA